ATCATTACCTTTGTAGTTTGCAATATTCTCAGTAAAGAACTGGTATTCCTATCCCCATATCTTTTGCCTGAAAGCCCCATAATTTTAAAGGTATAGCAATTTGGAGGTGGTGGTGGGGGGTGTTTACTTTTCCCTATCTCAAGAGAGACTTTTGGTTTCCCCTGTCTTCTAAACTGAGACAAACGCAAACCATAAGCTATGAACAATTATAGAGATATATAGATCAATAAAAAAACTGAGTGACAGATTGAGTTTCCACCTTCTTACCCAAGGACAGATTTTCTGTGTCGCCTGCACTGCCTGGCTTGTGATGTGCAACTAGGAGGCACTGACTGTCAAGCAGCGGCTGCTGCTGCACGAAGCAGGAGTACCACATTTCGATTTCTTTCAGGTGACTGGGCAGCTCAGGGTTGAAGATTATTATTACGCCATGAGAGTCCTTCATCAGAGCTGGCCAGCATGTTTCAAACCTTGAAAAACAGGTGGACAGAAAGTGGTAAGATTGACAGCTGAGAAACAGAAATGTGCACTCAAACTACAAGTTTTCTTCTTCCCTCCTCAAGAATACCTTTCAGTACTTCATTATAACATTAGTAATCTTGCCAGTGACCTATCATATTCCAAATGTCTTACCTGTTAGGTTAATTGGTCCCAGGATTTGCTGACATTTGGTCAAATGCTTAAACTTTTTCTCTAAAATTGAATCTGTCCACTTCTTAATTGTATCTTTTGGAAATTAAGGCGTAAGTCATACATATAACATATCTGAAGTCCACTTACATGATAATTTCAACGAGATAAAGGCAATTACAGAGCAGGCATCTGTCTCCTGTACCTGTAACTTCATTCTAGGGACTAAGGACTGTTACATCTTGTCCTTAACCAAAAAAGAGTTCATTGTCAGTTGGGATCATGGCAGAGAGTACCTAGTATCAGATGCTTTACAGCAAAAAACTTTAAATAGAATGGGGTCAAGAGTCAAGAACATTCCTCATCTGAAACATATCACTGGGTTTTGGCCTCAAGTATGAATATTTTGTGTACAGAGAACGACTATGAACTAGGAGGCTGGTTAGCTCAGTTGGTTAGAGCGTGGTGCTGATAACACCAAGGTCGGGGGTTTGATCCCTGTTCTGTCCCCATGTGTTGCCTGATCTAGTTGAGAGGCGTCCCTGCCCAGGACAGGGAGGGTGGATTAGATGATCTCTGAGGTCCCTTCCAGCCTCGGCCAGTCTGTGATTCCAATAACCCAGAGGAAGTAATGACGCCACCTTACTTTTGATCACCGCTGCAATCCCACAGCTCCAACCGACACCCCGCTCCCTTGCTGTTCCCGTTCAAGTTCGGCTTCTCGTACTCGAGGATCCTGTGAAAA